TGCCTGAAGAATACAATGATTAATTGGCAACATTAGGCCCCTTTTGGGGACTTATTCAACTAAAGACTTTTACATACTAACTGCAGTTTAAAATCTGCCTATTTTGTGGGTATATATTGCAATAGTTTCGGCCCAGATCCATCAGAGTGCATCACCTGAAGCGCGCCGTTCTCAATGGGAATATGGTGATAGCTGTATTAAGCCGTGTGCTACACTGAAGTCCTTAGAGCTCTTGACTAATAGGCTGCAGAAACATTCATGTGAGAAAGTCAGAACCAAACGTGTGTAGAAATGAGTTCATTAGGCCATTAAAGTTACTTGATACTCATTATCGCCCAAACATGCATAAAGCAATAAAGTTGTGAATATTAAGCTTAGGGAATCATAAAAGCAAGACTGTCAAACCACAATGCAGCTGCATATACTTGGTATTAAATGTGAAAAAAAAAAAATAATAATAATAATAATAATGCAATTTCAATTGAATGGCTTATGTAACATTAAACGCTTAAGCTCAAGGTACTGGATGAGTTTTCCAGCTCTGGTTAGATGAGTTAGGAGAAGGTGGCCTGTAGAGAGAGGTTGGAAATCCGAACAGTAGAAGAAGTCATTGTATTTTCTCCCACTGTGTAAACTGGATGATTTTTTTACTCTAGTTTTCCCATCTCCAAGCAGCATTTGTAACTGCCATGACAAGACCATGCATAATTTAAACTGCACAAAACTACCTGCAGATACGTTGGAGGTTTGGGTGGCCGAAGGGAGCCGGTGGAGTGCTTGAGAAACCAATTTTTCAATTCCGTTTGGTGCTGCATTTTTAATTCCATTTCTAAACCACTAGAATCTCCACTGGTTGAGTCAACATTGCTATGTGGAGCTGGTCGGGATTCTCAAGAGTGCAGGAGTTATACTTTAAAAAAAGGGATAGATCACCCAAAAATAAAAATCTGCTGAAAATGTGCTCATCCACAGGCCATCCAAGATGTAGAAGAGTTTGTTTTGGATAGATTTAGCATTGCATCACTTGCTCACCAATGGATCCTCTGCAGTGAATGGATGCCATCAGAATGAAAGTCCAAACTGATAAAAACATTACGATAATCCACAATGTCTTGTTTTTAAATTAATGTAATGTTGTGTTTGTAAGAAACAAATTAGTAAATCAAGACGTCTTTATCTTTCAATAGGAGTCCTGCATCCATAATATTTCTTTTTCCAGTGAAAGTAATCTTGTCTGATTTAGGAGAAAAATATGCACAGATCAAGCACAAGCAAAAACAGACCAAAACAGCTCTAAACAAATATGCTGGTGAATTTTGATGTTAGAGGAAAAGAGGGGATAGACTTTTTCAGTGGAGGAAGCATTATTACAGATTATGGTATTTTGACCAGTAGTAAACCATTAAAATGCCTTAATGATGGATTTGTTTCTTACAAACAAGCAGCATTTCTTAGAAACACATAGCTTTTCTTTTCACATGATGTTAATTGATGGGCTGGAGTCGTATTAATTACTTGTGGATTATTGTGATGTTTCTGTCAGCTGTTTGGACTCATTCTGACGGCACCCATTCACTGCAGATGATCCAGTGGTGAGCAAGTGATGTAATGCTAAATTTCTCCAAATCTGTTCGGATGAAGAAACAAGCTCACCTACATCTTGGAAGGCCTTAGGGAGAGTACATTTTTGGCAAATTTTAATTTTTGGGTGAACTATTCATTTAGGGCAATTAAAATATAAATGGTTTACTTATATAGTTGTTTCTGCATGCTACATTAAAAGTAAGTAGTTTAACAATGAAAATCACCCAGCAATACTTAATATAGATGTATTAAAAGCTCAAGTAGTGTCAGCCTGGAATTTAATAAATATTGGCCGCATAAAGACTGTCACAAACCATTTAGCGGTTTCTTTTTTGTTCTTTTATTAAGCTTGAGGGCTTTATAAAAGGCTTTTAAATGTCTCAGAAGGTTTAAATACAACAAGCTCAAGCTCCTTGAAAAATCAACATCTTTAAGGAAATTAAATGACATTGAATCTATTACGGAGTTCATTTGAAATTCAAGTCTTGAAGAAAAGATCTTCTCCCAACCTGGAATACAAAAAGAGGACATAGAATCAGAAACATTCAATAGGCACTTCCAACATATCCTTGCATTTAAGCACAGCCTACCTGGTACTTCCCCAGTCACCTGCCAGGTTGTCGGCTACACTGCGCAACATCCAGAACGTTTTCAGCACTTGTTCACCGTCACGTAAAATAAAACACTGACCGAGCCAAGCAGAACATGAACCTGCAGATATGCACATATTTTGTCACATCATTATAACATTGTTTTCTAACCAAAGCCAACACAGAATTTAACAGCGGTCGCTTGCAAGGTAACCATAGTTTCTGACAAATTACCAGTTACTAGCAGGAAGTGAGAAACTGTGTTGCTTGTTTAAACCCTGCCAGTAAATGCAGTAGCTACATCATTATGCTGTCAAAAAGCTTTCCCCACTGACATCCATTCAAAAGTAACCACACATCTTAACAAGTAATAAAAAAAGCAAGGTAATTTTGCAGTTCGGTTACCATGGTAAATTTTTCGAAAGGGTATTGGTACTGGGTCATTATATAAAAGAGGTGGCATTTCCATTTGAATTTTTCAGAAAATAAACTCCATGTGTCAAAGCTACAGTGCACAACTTTGCGCTATTAGTTTACCTTCTTTCTAATGAAACAAAATTACCATTAATTTACCACTGGCTGGCTTGTTTTCATATCAGTGAAGCTGTAACTAATAGGAAGCAGTATCAGTGCGGACAAATTTTGATTAATTTTTTTGAAAAACTCTAACATTATTCTTTATTTGTACATAAAGCATTTTTATTTAACTGCGAAGTGACTCTTAAGTGAAAAATGTGAGAAACCACATTAAAAATAGCACATTTCCACATGCATAGTTTCATGCTATAGGCTTAAAAATAACAAATGTAAACACTAAAGCAGGTTAAAAATGTTTTAGTACACATTTGTGACCCTGGACCACAAAACCAGTCATAAGTAGCACAGGTATATTTGTAACAATAGCCAACAATACATTGTATGTGTCAAAATTATCAATTTATCTTTTATGCCAAAAATCATTAGGGTATTAAGTAAAGATCATGTTTCATGAAGATATTTTGTAAATTTCCTACCGTAAATCTCAACTAAACTTTTGATTAGTAATATGCATTGCTAAGGACTTCATTTGGACAACTTTAAAGGCGATTTTCTCAATATTTAGATTTT